AAGGTTATTTATGGTTCTGCAGAGAAGGGACCTGAGTGGCTATTTACAAGCACGTGATTCCAATAAACTTTGTTTTATGGCTTGAGAGTTGACAAGCCAAAATATAATTCCCACCATAAATTAGGTTAAGAGCATACAAGTGCAGATGCTTGGTGCCTGTAGCAGCAATAGGCAAGTGAGAGGCTCCAGCCAGCGCCGGGCTCAGGAGACAGCTCTACTCTAAGCTACCCTACCCACTAGAAAAGAAAAACAGTAAGTCACTTATTACTTTGTCCACAATAACTCTAGAGTTGTGGGGCAGGGGGTCGAGCCCAGCCTTCTCTGCTTGAGGAAAGCCTATCTAACGAAGTTAATTTTAATTTTAGCCTAAACCTAACTTAATAAATAGAATGGGGATCTTGGCGTTTCCCTCTCCTTTGTATACCTGGAAAGTTGGGAAAGAAATGAAAGCTTCTACCCCCCAAAGCAGGACTTACACTCTCCACTCAGCAGTGGAACAACTACTTTAAAAGTAGAAGAAAGCAATGATGGTGGGGGTGGGGAGGGAGAAGTGTGGAGATGAGTCACCTCTGAGATAGCTTAGAGCGGTTCCCCCCCTTTCTGTTCCTAGAGGACTAAAAACTTGAAGATGGACACTAGCGCCTGGGGAACCACTGTTCTGTTTGATCGGTCTGTAGGCTCTCCTGCAGGTATGTTTAACAAATTAGTGTCAAACCGATAGAATTAGATCATATTTTAGACCATTTCTGTAAGATCTAGATCATTTACCTTTAAATGCTTCAATTTTCCTTTCTGGATATCTTTTGGGTTCTCATTTCCCCCTCGGAAGGAAATGACTGTTTTGAATTGGAGACATGGAAAAGTATGTCCCTGCCGTGCCTGCCCCTTCTTTGAGTAGAATGCAGGTTTGGACGCTGAGGTGGAATTCGAAACCAACCTGAAACTGGAAAAGGAGGGTTGAACTGTTCCCAGAGGGAGCAGAATTGGGGTCCGGACAAATAGGAGGTCTGCAGGCTCTCCAGTGGATCCGCACCCACCAGCCTGCGGCAGAAGGAAATGCACAAAGGCCTATTTTCTGACTTCCCATTTTCCCCCTGGGGAAACCCTGCCTCAGGCTGACTGAGTCAGGCTGTAAAACCCGTAGGGCTTTGCTCAAGGGTGCGTGAAGTAGAGGAGGTGACCAGGACACACTCTAATACCCCTTAGGAGTAGTCTTTGAGGTTGCTATCGGAGAAGAATTTAGCGCAGTTCCCGAAGGCAGTCACCAGAAGCAAGGAATCTAGGTATTGGAGTGTCTGGGCCTTGTCACTTTCTGTATGTCGTCTATGTCTGCTTTATTGTCCTGTGAGATTTGAGTGACCCCATTCTCATTGCAACAGGTTTCCGAGCATCAAGGAGAACCAGGGAGAAACACTGTAAGTACCTTCCCTTTTCTTCCGAGTAAGAGCAGTGCTAACGCTGGGAGGTGGTGGGGGAAGGTGGTAGCGGAGATGGGAGGGTTACAGAGTGGCGCTGCCTCCCCAGGCCAAAACGGACTCGCTTGGGGAGGGCTGGAAGCTCCAGGCTGACCCTTTAGGAAGTATTTCTGGGGCCTAGTTCACAGTCACCTGCACAAGTAAACGCACCGCAGGGGATCGCCCTTGTCTTCCCGACCTCCCTGGACCTCCTTGCAGGCCTTTGCCAGGCGTCTCTGGCTCGCACAGGTGCAGCGGACTTGCAGCTAATTAGCAGCCCACCCTATCAACGAACTGCGGGCGGGCCAGCATCCACAACTGCTAGGATTGACCCAATCAACACCAAGGCAACGGGGTCCCCCTCTACAATCCAACCATTATTATCTCTGCCCAGTCTACCTCAGCCTTCCCTTGCTGTATATATGTCTTAATTTTAAAATTGATTTATTACAAACAGAAACAAACATATAACCTTTGATGGCTTTGGGTGTATTGGATTGCCCTGCTTCCAGGAAGGGCTACAACTACTAAGCCTATGTGGACATTCCTCTCCTGTCCCTTTCTGGGTCCTAGCTTCACTGGTCTGAGTCCTAGCTTTGGGATACCGGGTGAACGAGAAGAGTACTTTCTCTTTCACCTCTGTTTCTCCTTAGCTGCAGTTGAAGAATTTCTACCCCAGAGTCCAATGGAATTGGGTAGGATCAGAGGCAGGGACTCCAGTTCTTTTGCTCTGAAGTGTGAAGCTGAGAATGCAGACCGGCATCTTCTGGATGTCATTAGAGGGGTTGGCACTAGAAGGAGAGCCAAGGAGATAGTAGGGGCTTGTCACTCACTGCAAACCCCAGGTAGTTTAATTTTATGGAAGAGTAGATTGATAAGGGCCACAGGGACCAGGCATCCTCCTTCTCTTGTGAGATGTGTTCCTCTCCTGGTCAGATAAGCTGAGACTGGGCTCAGGGCCAGGTTTTTTTTTTTTTTTTTGCTGGGCCCCTGGTGAGGCTGAGCTCCCAGGCGAAGTGGAAACCTTCTTCGCAGCTTGTAGTTCTTTCTATGAAGCAGGCCTGCACATAGTCAACCAGACTCCGTGGATGAAAAAGCTGGACTCCCCAGACTTTCTCTGGTCTTGCCCCCGCCCCATTCTTGGCACCCTTGGCTGTGAGTGCTTATCTCTGCCGAGGCTACTTGCTTGCATACTCGAATCTGGCGCCTTGTAGCTGCACACAGCACAAAAAGCCGGAGAGATCAAACGCATTTGTTGGGCAGTTGAGAGGGAGGTGAATATTTAACGCTTTTGTTCATCAATAACTTGTTGGCTTTGACCTGTCTGATCAAGTCGAGCAATAAGGTGAAATGCAGGTCACAATGTCTAACAAATATGAAAATGTGTGTACTCATCTTGGTCCCCACTCAACCCTTCGGACTTCCTCAATGTGTCTGGATAAAGCTGAGGTAGGCCCAGTGTCCCCAGGAAGGCCTGTCCATGGGTCTGTTGGTGAAAGAGTTGGCAGTAGGAGAAACTGGGGAGAGTCTTTAAACAAATGGATTTTAACTCTCTTTTGACTTGACACCCGGGGAATCCCTTCAAAGTAGTGGAAGTGAAATGGTAAGAGGGTGTGGAAAAGCAAAGTACAGAGTAAAAGCGAGCACCCAGTTTTGACAAATATGATGGGGGGGTCTTCCTGCTCCACCCCATCAAAATCAAGGCGTGGGGCTTGAAAGTGATTTTTGAATTATAGGGGAAGGGATCAAAACAATACTTAGAAATGTGGACATCTTCAATCTGTTATCAGACATCCAAAAGCTTGGCCCAGGCCAGGGCATCCCTCTGCCCCTGAAATCAGCCCAGCCCCAGAGTGCATCTGGGCTCTAGATGCCCTGAATTGAGGGGCAAGCCCAGGACAGCGGAGGCGCTGGGGCGGCGAAATTCGTGAACTTTTGTACTCTTCTGTGCTGCTGTCGGCAAAGCAAAAATAATGAAACTTTGTGATATGTTTGTAAATGATTTCGAATGACCCCTCGCCCTGCCCTTCACCATTAGCTCGACAGTCTCAGCCCAGGGAGGCTCGGTGGCCGCAAACAGCGCCTGCCTCCGGGTGTGCAGCAGCAGCAGCAGCAGCAGAAGCAGAAGCAGCAGCAGCAGCAGAGGGATTCGAAAGTCCGGTGGGGCTAAGGGCCCAGGAAGGTAAATTCTAGGAGGACTGTCTGTGGTCACTAACTTGGGTTCGGTGTTGGTGAAGAATATCCCTTTTGCCTTTTTCAAAAGTCCCCTTCTGCTGCTGAGGGCCCTTGCTTCTTTTTGGGAAACACCACTTGCTAAGGGGACGGGAGATTTGGATTCTGAGAAGGGGCAATAAAGCCGCCATCTCTGGGGTGAAAAAAAGAATCCTCCTTCTTTTCTTTTTCTTTTCTTTCTTTCTTTTTTTTTTTTAAGAAGAAGGTCCTGGTTGCTCAGCTGCTTGGTAGCCCCTCGATCACGGCAAGAGAATGAGGGGACTCATTGCTGCAAATTGTCACCGAGCCAACCTGCACCATCTCTGAATGCCAGGCTTGGGGAGTTCCTGGTGGCTGTGCTGAAGAGAATCAGGTCTGGCAGCTGCCTGAATGGGTAGGACCTGAGGTTGTAACGTTGTCTATATATACCCTGTAGAACCGAATTTGTGTGGTACCCACATAGTCACAGATTCGATTCTAGGGGAATATATGGTCGATGCAAAAACTTCATATATCTCCGACACGGCCAGAGACTGAGGCGCGGCGAGTAGTGGCAGCCGAGCCGGCAAGCCACCTCTGTCTTTTTCATTACCTTAGACTCCAGGATGATCGACTTTGCCTAGTGACATACAGCCTTTTCCTGGAGAAACTTCTATAGATGTCCCAGTAGGTACTTAAGTGTTTTCCTGAGTGTAAGGCCAAAGGGCCAGGTTTTAGGATATTAGAGAGTGAGGTGAAAGGCCAGCAAGCTCCAGCAGAAGCCCTGCCCTGAAGGAGCATAAGATACAAAGGTACCCAAAATGGGCTCACCTGCCTTTAAAGCCCTTGTATGGGGAGAAGACAAATTGGAAAGGCCATTGGAGACTGTTGGGGTACATTTAGGCAAGGTTAAAGTCCCCCTCCCCACCATTCCAACCTGACCCAACCCTCAGCCACCAGACCCAGAACTGTGAGGGCCTCCTCCTTCTTTATCAGCAAGATACAACTTCAACTAGAAACATCCCAGCCTGGCCATTGGCAGAAAAGCATAGTGGTTACTCATTGCCTAACTCAATTCAGGTCCGCCAGACTCTGGTAACTTTTGGGTGACCCTGGTGAAGACAAAGCCAGGACAGGTCTTTGTATGTCAGAGTCCAGGACTCCTGCCAGCTGGCCGGGCAGGCTGCCTGCTTAGGGACTCTACCCAACCCGGAGGCCACATTACCCACAATCATTTTTCCTTATTTTGCACCCCAATAGGAGGATTCACTCTTCTTTGAACTATGCCCACTCTGGGGGCTGTTTCAGGCGATGGTGAGTGAGGAGGGAATGGGAGGTTAGCAAAGTCAGTGGAAGACAAAAGCTAAGATTACCTGCCAGAAATTGGGGTCCTGGGAATAGAATCAGAACTATATTAACATCTGTCAGGGACTCTCAAATGTGGCATGGCAAGTCACTTGATTACACGTATGTTATTTAGTTAAATTTGTGAAAATTATGAGATGCTCACCAACCCGGTGATAAACATGCTCTCTTCCTATTGGCTGGCCTGGTCACATGGCCGCCCAACTTTATTCAGTTGACAGCAAGTAGGAGGGCCCAATGGAAGGAGAAAAAAGACAACACGAGAAAAATTAGTATTTTCTACCTTCTGAAATTAATGGCCATGAGTTCGTATATGGTGAACTCTAAGTACGTGGACCCCAAGTTTCCTCCGTGCGAGGAATATTTGCAGGGTGGCTACCTAGGCGAGCAGGGAGCCGACTACTACGGCAGCGGTGCACAGGGCGCCGACTTCCAGCCCTCGGGGCTTTACCCACGGCCCGACTTCGGTGAACAACCCTTCGGAGGCGGCGGGCCCGGGCCTGGCTCAGCGCTGCCAGCGCGGGGTCACGGACAGGAACCGAGCGGCCCGGGAAGTCACTACGGTGCCCCGGGAGAGCCGTGCCCAGCGCCCCAGCCTGCGCCCCTGCCTGGTGCTCGGGCCTGCAGCCAGCCCACCGGCCCCAAGCAGCCGCCCCCCGGGACAGCACTTAAGCAGCCCGCTGTGGTCTACCCTTGGATGAAGAAGGTGCACGTGAATTCGGGTAAGGAGCGGGTGCAGCGACCTCACAGCCCTCCCCATCCCTGCTCGCATATTTTGGCCTGGGCCCCCCGGAGGGGTTGCGAATGGGTGGGGGCTTGTGAAGCTTCCTTGGGCGCCGCAATTACTCTCTCCATAAATTTTTATAGCTGAGGGAGCAGGCCGGGACCATGTGGCTGGCTGCTTGGCTGTGGGCGCAAAAGGGGGTGGGGATGGGGGTGGGGTGGGGGAGGACTTCATTTCCACAGCAGAGGGAACGTAGAGCAAGAGAAGGGCCTTTCCAAAATGTTGGAGATCCCGAGCTCTTGGTGGGCCAGGGGCAAGGGAGCACCTCTGAGGACCTGTGAGCGTGGGGAGTGGGTGCATGGAAGAGGTTGGGTGGGAGTGAGTGTATGTTTAGGGAGAAGAAGGGAGGGAGGAAGCTGGCCAGCTTGGAGTACAGGGGGGGCCCGAGGGCTGCGAGACGCGCCAGGAAGTGAGGGCAAGAGGCAAGTCTGGGGCCTAACTAGTGGCCGGGCTCTGACCTGGCTGCCTTGTCTGTTTTGTCTCATAGTGAACCCCAACTACACCGGTGGGGAGCCCAAGCGTTCCCGGACGGCCTACACCAGACAGCAAGTCCTAGAACTGGAAAAGGAATTTCATTTTAACAGGTATCTGACCAGGCGCCGTCGGATTGAAATCGCTCACACCCTGTGTCTGTCTGAGCGCCAGATCAAGATCTGGTTCCAGAACCGGAGGATGAAGTGGAAAAAAGACCACAAACTGCCCAACACCAAGGGCAGGTCTTCTTCCTCATCTTCCTGCTCCTCTTCAGCTGCCCCCGGCCAGCATTTGCAACCAATGGCCAAGGACCACCATACGGACCTGACGACCTTATAGAAGTGGGGACCCTGGGCCCATCCCTTCTTGCACTCCAGGTTGAGGCGAAGCTGCGGGTGCAGGCGGGGCCTGCTGTCACCTCACTGGGCTCTAAGGTACTGTGGGGGTGGACCTGGGACCTGCAGGCCGCCCTCGGACTAGGTTACCATCCTGCCCGAGGGCAGCCCCCTCCCTAAAGTGGGGAAGGGTGGGAGGGTGGGCGGGCTTCTTTAAGTAGATTATCATGGCAGGAGCTACTGAGAAAGTAAACCCTTGGCGAGTCATTAAACTCTGAAAATCTCTGCTGTTGGATTTTGAATTTGCAAATGAAAGTTGGAGGCTTTATCCCAGAGTGAACCGGGACATTCTCCTCCACACCACCCCTCCAGGGACCTACGTGGCTTAGTAACTGTGGGGGAGTTGAGGCAGAGGGCTAGCTAGCACCCAGTGCTAAGTGCTTTCAGTGCAAGCAGGAGAGGCTGAGCCAGAATCTCAGAACTTTCTGGATTATCTATAGAATTTCTTCTGTGATAAAAACAAATGATTTGCTCCATGCCCAAAGAAATAAATCCAAGAAGGAAGTGGAAACGGGTTATTTTATGTTTAGATTATATTTGCTTAAATATTTATTTGTTCGGGGAATGGAGTACAGAAATAACTGACACCTGCGTGCCAAAAACCTTAGGATGGTGAATAGGCTTAAGCTTCAGGGGACTGGATTAGAATGCTGTGGACTCTTTTCTGGCCCTATTCCGGATTTTGAGCTCCTCCCTCCTACCACCACCCACCCTGGAGATGTGGAGGAGGCCCTTAACCCTTCAAGAGGGAAGCCAAGGATCCAGGAAACCTGGGTTTTTTGAAAATGTGTTCCTTCATATGCTTCTGCAGAACCATGTTTACAGGCAGTTCTTCCTGCATGTGCTTCTGCAGAACCTTGTTTACAGGCAGTTCTGGGTGATTGGAAGAAAGGTGGGGGGGGTGGAGAAAGAAACAAATGGTCTAATATTTTCCTCTGGGGAAAGAAAACAAAACCTATATGCTCTGGGTCATCAGATAATGTCTGAATTTTCTATTCCAACTAGATTCCTACTACCCCAAATAGCAGCATTTTATAGGATTCTGAGTATGGCCTAAATGGGGAGTGGTGCTGTGCATAGGAGGAGAATGGGTAGGTAAGGAAGGCTTATTTTTAAAATGAAACTAGTAGATTCTAGAAGCCCACAGAAGTTGATCTTAAAGGGATTTCCCTTGAAGTTTTTTTTTTTTAAAGAAACATTAATTAGAAGCAGAAATTGTAAAACTCTGAAAGTTTTCGGGCACTTCTTTACCTTGAAGATAGTAAACTTAAAAACAATCTCAAACAAAAAGGATGTTTTTAATATTTATTTTTATTCCATGCCTGGAAAAGTTCAAATCTCATTTTCTTAAAAATGCTAACCCTTTAGAATAAGAAGGAGAGGGGTCAGAGGTAATGGCAGGGTTTATATAGTCAAATGAAACAAGTCTTTGAAAGTTTGAACCCCAAAACTCCAAACAGAAACCCCTGGTTGCAATTACCCCCCACAAAAGTAAGAAATAAGGGAAGGGTGAGCTTAAAATTTAATTCTATGATCCATGGTGATGGTATTACTTTCAGGATTTCAGGACACTTTAGAAAGTTTCAGTGGCTGTTTTTAAAATGGACTTAGATGGAGAAGGGAAAGGCCTGTTCTTTGGTTCTATGTCTGCTGAGAGCTGAGAGCAGGGATTCACTGGAGTCCCTAGGCTGAAATTCTACTCTCTGAAGTGTCTTCCAAACCTTGGTCTTTTGTATTAGACCCTGGGGAAAGCTCTTTGTTCCTCCTTGGGGTGAGCCTGCCTCTCAGACTTGCACATGGCAATACTTGAATATCACCATGTCGGGATATTAAAGATGGATATTCCTGCATTATTTGCGTCATTGTTTCTGTGACAAAAAGCACAGAGTTCATACATAGTTAAGACGTCTTTTTTCTGACGCCCTCACGTTGAGAAGCTGAAAAGGTATTTTACTGAAGTTCGGCTAAATTACAGAATCAGGTTCACCCAGAGGACAAATTTTCTGTTCGATTAGCTGTATTTCAGCCTGGAGGACTGACCTCTAAACCCTTAACCTTTTGGACTCTAACTACCCTTCTCTTTTTTTTTCCCCTCCCTGTAACATGGAGGCAGTCTTTGGATATAGCATTTGAAAAGAGGCGCTATCCTTAGGCCAATTGGAAAATTGTTACTAGTCTTTCCTAAAAGCCAAATCTAAGCATATATTGAACCATGTCCTTGGGGCGGGGAGTGTATATTTTCACAATATTCAACTATATAGCCACTATGGAGATTATTATGTAGATTTTTCCCTCTCCTCAGAAGTTCTGGCTACCCATCCAGCTTCAGACCAAATACTACTCCTCTTTCCTCCTGCCACAAAGAAAAGCCAAAAGCCAAGAGTGTGCTTTCCTGAAGAAAACTCCAGCTTCTTCACAAACATAGCCCACTACTTAGGAAACTAACTTGAGCTGAGAAACAACTTCTTTGTTTATAAATCTCAGCTCTTCCTCTCAACTGGGAGGGGTTGTCTTTTGAAATGCTAATGGCCCTTGCGTGGCCCAGAGAGCAGTTACTAGTCCTAAAGTCTTATTCTGGCTCTTGTACCTACCCATTTGGGCCCAAAGGAGTGGACTAGGAAAGAGGTGGCCCCTGCCCCCACCCTAGTCACCTAGAGCAGGAAGGTCTCCATCTGGGAACATTCTCTAGAGAAAGCAAGCTGTGGAAAGGCTACAGTGCCCATTTGTTGTTATTTATTTCCAGTTTGTTCTCCCCAAATATGAGCCAGAAGCATTTGTTTGGGTGTTTTAGAACCTGTGTTGGGGTTGTGCCTGGGGTTGAGGAATGGAGTGTTTGCCGAGGACAGTGCGCCTCTGACTCCCATCTCACTGTCCCTTTACAGCCTTTTGTTGTGAGATGACATCGGGAGTCAGCCCCTTGGAGTCTGCTCACAAAAGACGCTTTTAAAAATAGGACTGACCATGTTTTGCTGCCACTGATTAAAGTCTTATTTATACTATTTGTCGCCTGTAGTTTTGATGTAATTCATTGATCTATATTTGAAATAATAAAAAGGTGTAGTAAAATCTCCCTCCTGTTTGGTGCCTTGTTAGAGACTCTTTTCATTATAAACATTTCCTCTGCTTATTTTCTGCAATAAATTAGACACCCATTTATTTGGAGCCTGTGGTGTGTAAGTTAAGTCACTCACGATTTAGCAATTTCACACTCCCCTTCTACTCCCAATTTGGCTACTATGTTTTGTGAGCAGTGGAGAGCCTGAGTGGAATCCAGACTGCAAGGTGGAGGGCAGTGTTTGTTGAAAGACTAGCTCGGGTTCTAGGGGTTCCAAATTGGCTTTTGGTCCTGCTCGGTTTTTAGATCTCCTTCAGAGTGAGCATGAGAAACCTTTGCACTCTCCAGAGGTTGGGTGAGCATGCTTTTTCTGGGCCCAGCCAGGATTGGCTGGTGGTTGTTGCTCTGACCTGACCTGGCTGGCCTCCCATCTTGGACTCCCAGTTTTCTGGGGCTACTGAACCCCTCTGGTGTTTCCAACACCTATCCCCTCCTTCTCTGCACCTCTCTTGGCCCTCAGACAGCAATAAACACTCTCTACTATAAAAAGTACCACGCACTATTTTTATCACGAGGGATTTCCCACATCTTGGCCTCGGCTTTGAAGAGGGGGCCAAGATAGGAGTTCCAAAATAGATAGGGGGTGTATTGCTGAAGACAGGAAATAAGCAGGATGCATAAAGTAGGACATATGTCCTTAATATATGGAAGGGCTCGCTCCAGACGCGTGGACATGTGTATTTATAAGTGCGCAGACAGAAGTTTAAATATTCAGACACATTTTATGATTGTCCTCTGCCCGTCTTCTGGTTAATGGCTCCTCCTGTGCCTACCAATACATCAATACTACTGTGTGTGTTGAATCACCGGCAGGGATGAGATGGAAGCGAGTCCATAGCTAAGCCCGTTGAGTACAGTACAGTAAATCGGACCCTCGGCAGACGGCGCCATGTTGGGGAGCCCTCCCTACCCCCCACGCCGGGCTGGGAGGCCGGGGGCTCGGCGGCAGTCAGGGGAGGGCCGCTCATAACCCGGAGAATTTTCAAAGTGCGAGGAAGATGATAAGAATAGATTTCTACAAGTCGCGACCACGTGATTGGCGAAATAATTAATTCAGCACGTCCCTTAAGAAACACGGAGTCGTCATTAATCTGCCACGCAAAGGGCTCTCTCCGACTTGGAAAGTGCAGGGATCCCGAGAACACGGCCCGCCGAGGGGGGCCCCCTGTGCCCGCAGACCCGGGCGCCGAGCGCGGCCCGCAGGTAAATATTTGGGCGACTTTTATTTCATCAGATTTCAATCCTTAATGAACTTAGCTGTCAGAGCCGCTGACAAATAGTTGCCTTTGCTTCTCTGGTTTGGAACAGCGCGCCGGTCAGAAGTTGTTAGTGGCTTGGATGGTGACCTTTGGTTCAGCGGAGCTTTGCACTTATGAAAAATTACTACGGGCGGCCGAGTGTGTGTGTGTGTGTGTGTGTGTGTGAGTGTGTGTGTGTGTGAGAGAGAGAGAGAGAGAGAGAGAGAGAGAGAGAGAGAGAGAGAGAAAAGGTGTGGATGAGGATGTGAGGGTGTGCAAGGGGTGAGGGTGTAAGGGGTGAGGGTGCGCACAGGCTGCTCCCCAGACAACAGGAGTTTAAAAAAAAAAAAACCCGCCCGGCTGGGGACACTCCTGGCGCACGCGGGCCGAGGTTGCTCGGTCGCCTGTGTCTACCAGGAACAATGGTCGCTGTCACCGCATCTGCCGCCTATTCTTAAACCAGCGAGGAAAAAGCCCCGGCCCCCTTTTCAAGCTAGGCTCGTAAATTTTTTCTTTGCGTCATAATAGAAGGCTATAAAATCGAGTTGAAATTTTACCCCAGGCAGGTTTTAACCAACAGATAATGACAAGCTACTTCTCTCGCTCCCTGGCTTTCCCACCTCAAGCTCAGCTGCTGGTCGCCCAGCACGCAGTTTGTCTTTGCTTCCTCTTTAGTTTTGAATTTGCAATTTTTTCCCTTTTTGAATATCTAACAAAACAAAAAGAAGTCCTCCACCTCCCAAGTCAGAGCAACTCAGGCAAAGGGAAGCCTCCGAGGAAGAGAAGGCTGCTGCCAGCTGCAAAAGCGATAGGGTCTCTTGCTACCATTTTAGCTTCTTTTCCCCCTCACTCCAAGATTTGACATCCCAAATGCGGCTTTGCTTTGGTCCTACCCGATCCCAGCTAGCTTTGTCCCTGGGGTGGGGGCAAGTAGCAAACATTCTTTTCCTTTAGCTGTAAGCTCTGGTCTGGGTGTCTCAGTGGATAGTCTTTTCATACGCCTCCTTACCCGCCTCCCAACATCTGTGCTTTGCCTCCATTGACTTTGAGAAGGATTTCGGCAAGCACCTCTGTGTGGTGGTTGTTTAGGGGTGTGTGTGTGTGTGTGTGTTTTAAATTTTTGGTATGTGTATATTTCTAGTCAGGACAGCAACAAAGTTTCCCCCGTTATGAATTATACATCCAAACAATAACACATTAATTCAATTATTCAAAGATGACAAATGTTTATGTGCTTAGCAAGTGACTCCTGCACGCAAATTCCGGGTGCTTTCTCTGCTTGCATTTTTCTCAATGAGAATCGTCGTCCCTCTCACCCCACCCACTTCAATCCAGTCAGACATCCCCTTGTAGGCTTAGAAAGGAACCCACAAAACGGCTCCCCAGCTTCACTAGGGGCTGGGCCGCCAACAGCCTCCAAAGGCCCGGCTTGGCGGGCACAGGCCCCGGCTATTTTATCAGTGTGACAATTGCCGTGGTTGGTGTGATAAATCATCGTAAGTAATTCCTGAAAGGGTGTGAGGCTGTTGGGGGCCGGGCGAGGACTGTAAATCTTTCCGGTTTATTGCTCTATGAACATATGCTCCGATTGAAGAAGGCTTAGATCCTTTCCTGGAGACAAATTCCCGCAAAGCAGCCCCCCTCTTTGGCAGAGGATTAACACTTGCCGGGGGCCCGCAAGCTCAACCCCTGGCTGGAGGCTTGGAGGCGGGGTCCTCTGAATGGGGGTGGAGTGGGGACAGCCTATGGTCCTTTGCGACAAGCACCCCAAGTGGGCCTGATCCTTGGCTGGGACGGGTGAACAAAAAGGAAGGAATTCCCTGTCAAGTTTGGGAGCTGGGTCCAGTGACTTCCTATGGGACCTGCCGACTTCTCTGTATTGGGTATTCAGAACCTTTTTTCTTTTCCCTATCCCTGTAGCCATTTATGGCTTTGGGGCACTTTCTCTCTTAGGAGGGTAGGAGGCCGTACAAGCCATATCAGAGCAGCAACTCCGTGGTAGAACCGCTTAAAAAAAAAAAGAAAAGAAAAGAAAAGAAAAGAAAGAAACTCTCAGAAAGCCAAATTCGGAGTTTCCCACAGTGTGAGATTCTATGGCGAGGGGAGGCCTGACCAAGGTAGTTTAGGAGCTCGCTACAATCCACGAGCGAGTGCTGGCCTAGATTTGCTTAACTCGTCTTCCCACACGCAGAATATCTGCAAATCTCTTCTAGCCACTTGCAAAGTGGCGAACTCGTGTTTCGATACAGTTATTTTAAAATAGAAATCTCCTTATCCCAGGTAAGCACGTTTCAGTAGTTCCCCTTGTCCTCTTGGAGGTACCGCAGGAAGCGGGAAGCTGCGGCTTGGCTGTTGCTTGGCCTGCGGGATCCTGTTGGCTGCGATCCGATCTGGAATCACTCAGATCAAGGTGGGCAGGGACTCCTCACCTAGGCGGCTCCAGACCCCAAAGGACTTGAGTGGAGTGCTCGGGGCTCCGAGAAAGGAGGTCATCTGGGGTCCTGCCCTGCTGCTAGGCGATTTCTTTTTTCTGTCTCAGAAGTGGCAGCTTGCCTGCTGAGTCTGCAAACCCCAGCCTGCGCCCTCAAGGAAAATCAGTGGTGGCAGGGTGACAGGCTAGAGTTGAGAACCAACGGGTCCCACCTTAAGGCAGGATCGGGTGTTGTGACCCAACTTAAGTGTCTGGCAGGGAGTGGGGATAGTACGTTATCAGCCTAGGCGGACGGGCAGGGCATCTTGTCTAGGTGCATGCAGATGTGAAGTACAGGACACCGAAGAATCCGAGGCTTCTGTTCCATAGCCCTGTTCCGGAAAGGCTTTTAAGAGGCAACCTTTAAAATGTCTAATCCACTGGTTGGTCTAGCAGAAGGCTGGGTCGGGGTCAGAGGTCTTTGCCCGGAGAGATTCTCAAGTCTCCATCCCACCGCATTGGGCCAGGCTGTGGCTGCACTGATCCCAAGCTGCGAGGACAGAGCCTTTCCTTTTTTTACCCACCAGTGTCTGCTCCGGGGGAAGCGCCTGGGTCCCAAGCTTCCTGCGCCCCTCCTCCCAGCCCCCAGGCCTGGCTGAGCTCTTGGGCTGGATGGCGTGAAAGTTTCAGCCTCAATCAGTACAATCTTCCCTCGGGGTCACGTGAACAAATATGCTTGCATTTGAAGGCAGCGTCTGTATTTCCCGACTATGAGGGGGTTTCCGGGGCTCTCTCTCCAAATTCAGAAAGGACCACGGTCCGAAAGCAAAACAAACCCCAAGCTCTGGGGGGCCTGGGAGGGCTGGGCAGGAACCCAGGAGTGGGTGGGGGAGCCAGTGGCCGCCGCTCTGGGCCTGGGAGCCGACCGGCGGGCGGGTGGACGGACTGGCGAACAGCGCAAGCGAAGCTAGCTTGGGGACTACGAAGTCGTTCCTCCAGCGTTTATTGGTAGTTGAACCTCAGCCTGGTTCCGTTCTACCGGGAATTCCGTGTGCTCTGGTATATGGCCGAGTCTGCAAGCGCGCAAGACCAGGGTTGGGACACTGTTGTCTGCAGACAAAGGGGGAAGGCTAGCTCTGCCCCCCACTGGCGCCCACTCTGAGACCGAGGACACCAGGTTTATGATAAATTGGGATCCAGGTAAGCAATTGCATGACAAAATGGAAATCTTTGGGCACAGGGCTGTTTGCTGCCCTGAGCGGGATACTAAATATGATTTATTTTGTGTAATCTGTGATCTTGATTAT